TCATTTTGATACGTGAGGTGGTATAACCCTTCAATGTAAAACATACACTGAAAAAATTTTGGTGCAACAGTTGCCCCAAACGAAAAATTTTAATATTCAATTAACTTCACACTTAATATTTACCATGAGATTTTATATGAGTGAATCTAACTGAATAAAGAAATTTTTCGTTTGAGATAGCTGCTGTACCAAAATTTTTTCAATGTAGATGCTAAAGAGATTAACAACAAAATCTCAATTATTTTTTTTGGTTAAAAATATGTAATTACAAAGGACTTTTATGATTTTGGATATTTTTTACTAAATAAATAATAAAAGCTGATGCACACAGTAATATGTAAACAAATAGATAACATCCCTGTTGATAATTCCTATGTGAGAACACATATGGGATCCCATCCAGGATCTCTTGTGAGTTCTTATGTGGGTTCCCATACAGGTTCACACATAAGATCCTGTATGAAAAGGTTCCTGGGATGAACTTGCGTGAGATCAAGTGCACGATCTTATGTCTCTGTAAAAGCAATAACACAGGATCCCATGAGGTTTCCTGTGTAGGTTCCTATATGAACAACACGATAAATAGGAACACACATGGGATCTTATCCGAGATCTTGTATGAGTTCTTACATAGGTTCTCACATATAAGAAGATTAATAGCATATATATAAAAGCATTATATAAAATCTTATTAAGCTGCTATTAATCTTCTTATATGTGAGAACCTATGTAAGAACTCATACAAGATGTCGGATAAGATCCCATGTGTGTTCCTATTTATCGTGTTGTTCATATAGGAACCTACACAGGAAACCTCATGGGATCCTGTGTTATTGCTTTTACAGAGACATAAGATCGTGCGCTTGATCTCACGCAAGTTCATCCCAGGAACCTTTTCATACAGGATCTTATGTGTGAACCTGTATGGGAACCCACATAAGAACTCACAAGAGATCCTGGATGGGATCCCATATATGTTCTCACATAGGAATTTTCAACAGGGATTGATGCTGTTTAGGTTAAATGAAACAATGGCTATCGCTGGAGATAGGATTTTGGACCCGCCATTTTGAATTTTAAAAAATTTATATAATATTCGTAATCAGCGACCCTGAGAACCCCCAAGTACCAAATTTGATGCGAATCCGACTAATGTAATAAAATTTTGGTCTCCATTTTGGACCCGCCATTTTGAATATTGAAAAACGAACATCATATTCGTAATCAACGACTTCAAAAACCCCAGAGTAACAAGTTTCAAGCGAATTTATGCAACATTAAAAAAAAGTCCGTTATTTTGGATCCGCCGTTTTAATTTTGAAAAACTAATGTCGTATTCGTAATCAGCGACCTCAAAAACCCCCCAAGTAATTAATTTCTGGCAGATTTATCGACTTTTAAAAATTTATTAACTTATTTATTTATAACAAATACATTAATGTTTTTTTTACTGAAATATTACAAAAAAAGTTCATTTTATTTGTTGCTTAAGTGATTTATAAACTTTTAAGATGAAATTTTATCTGTTTATGAAAAATATCACTCCCTAAAAGTTCATGAAAATTTTTTTTATTTTGTGAATTAAATATTTAAACAAAAAAATATTTTTTTCCAAATTTAAGATTATTAATATGTAGTCAATTATTTTACCTTTAAATAAAAAAAAATAAATTTAAATTGGTTGAAATTTCCGATCTCTACATTGCATTTATTCTAGGGACCAACTCTGCGACGTCTTGGACATCTATAACCCCTTATGGAGTACGGCCCCTTAATTTTAACTCGTAAGTCGCTAGGCTAATTATGTCCGCTCACGAGGGCTCGAGAAATTGGAGTGCTGGAGATCCACACTGCCGGTCCTATCCGCCGCCCTCCGTGACCATTTCGCATAGGATACATATTCCTGACTGCCAGATAGAAAAAGTAACGAACTGTGTATCGATTCAACAACTACTAATATCGATTCTAACGAATGCCTCGTTACATTAGATTAATTTTTTATTAATTAATTAATTTCAAATAGAAAGGTTTACTTGCCACACAATGTGTTTGAATACAAATCCTACTAACCCTGTGTAAAATTTGCGATGTTGCCAAGATTTATGTCACATTTTTAAAAAAATAATTAAACAGAATTTATATTATTTGCGAACAGAGAAAAGCTTATTAATTCTTACTGTCTAATATATCTTAATTGATAAAACTACAATATGTAAGATTTTTTAAAAGCTTATGACAAAGGATTTTGATTTATTTGAAAATAAGTGAAAATAAATTTTCCAAGGCCGATTACATACTTTCCAGAATGTATTTCCAAAATTTCATCAAAATCAAAACATTAATACCAAAGTTATGGCTGTTTTAATCCACTAATTTTCAAAGAAGAGTATATACACTTGAAACTTTAAAGGCTATTATCTCGGAATCGTGATTTTTGAGAACTACGGTTCCGGTGACTGAGATTTTTTTAAAACCGCTAAACCGTTAGGGCTGAAATTTTCAGGGATTCTTTATACATACAATAGCTAGTGCGTGAACGAAGGAATTTAAATTTGAACAAAAATTAATATTTTTTTGGTGAAAAAACTAAATTTTAAAGCCCTAAAATCACGATTTTTGAGGAAAAGTCATCGCTATTTCTGGAAATTTTTTTTTTCAAAATCCTTCGTTCACGTACGAAGTAATATATTATACTAACGAAATTTCCATTGTTTCCACAATTAACATTTTTTAATAAGAATTTATATACAAGTACATCGAAATATGCACTTTTCGATAAAATAAACTTCGTTTGAAAAAAATTTTAAATAACGGCTAACAAATTTTTTGAAAATTCCTCTTTTTTGACGCACATAAAGGTATATAACCTCTTAATACAATAGAAGATAATTATTTATTAATTTATTTATTAATTCTACTTATAATGCAAATGTACAGATACTAAACTAACTATAATGTCCAGAAAATACTAAAAATCAACGTTAATGCTGAAAATAGTAAATAGGTTAGAAATCAAAGTATTGTTCTGAGGATATGACATTGTAAAAATTTCAAAAAAGAAATTATTAATACCCACACAGTAAATAAATTTACAGCAATATTATCAACATTTCCTTAAGGGGGGGATATGATATTTAATTTTTTTTGCATTTTGTTTTATTTTTTTAAATAAATGTATAATATTTCAAGAATATTGTGTAAAAATTTCAAGCCGATCGGAGCAAAATTGACGAAGTTATGAGCATTTGAGCATTCAAGTGCCGGTTGCTTCGCGGGCTGTGTTTTCGTATATTTTGAATTTAGTTTGTGTTTAACGGACATTTCTGAATGTTTTCTGATGTCGTTTTGTGTATAAGTTTTGGGGTCGCTGATTACGAATCTGAAGTCAGATTTCAAGAATTGTGAAAATTTAAAATTGCGTTTTTCTCAAAATGACATTTTTGAAGTCCGTGTTCACGATATCTCAAAATCTACTGAACCAATCGTTCTGAAATTTGGCACAGTTCTTCTTGACTAAATTCCTCAGGAAACTACGAGACCTTTTTTTTTAATAAATATTAAAAAAAAGTAAAAAATAGATCGATTTTTTCAGCAAAAATCGAGTTTTTGTGTTTCAAGTGCTGCGAAAAATCGAAAAATTAAAAAAACCTGAAGAGATTTACTGACACTCATTCAATTTGCAATATTTTTCAATGAGAATTTAGGAAAATATACTTCAAATATTGTATTAATATGTGGAAATTAAGCTAATAAAGTAAAACTCTTTATATCACCGAAAAAAATTATTAAAAAAGTGCCTTTTTTTACACCGAATTAACCATACCCCCCACCTTTAATAAAAACTGATAAAATATTGTACTTTTATATGTTGATTTTTTATTAATGTTGCATTGATTACACTTTTCAACATTGAATAGAGTGACCAGAGAGTTTTTGGCTTATATTTTTTTCAATTTATTAAAATAGACAACTAACACTTATTCCGAAGACAAAATATTTTTAGATTCGCTTTCAGATGAAGTAGAATTCACATATGTATTTTCACTATCGGAACTCATTTCTTTACGAAAAAATATTGGTGCACCTGATGTTTCTTCCCGCTGCCTTAGCACTTAGTACAACACTCTTGGAATGGCAGGCACATTCTTGTAAATAATATATCCTGCAATATATGTGCAAAATATCTCCCAGAGTTGACATCTTGATTGTACCAAGACAGTAGTATCTCGCAATATAAACATATTAAATTTATTTTGTTCTATTTTCGTTAAATCATATTAATCTTTATAAATTTGCAATAAATTATTTTCTAGAAGTAAGGCGTGGACGAGTTTTTTCACTGTAAAATAGACTTGTCCGAAAACATCAACTTTCCTCACCCTTAACATCTAAGAAAAACCATGGTTTTCGTACATGTGTGGTAGAACAAAAAATGTAAAAGATGTGCAATGTAGGGTATAATTCTTTACTTAGGTGCAATCATAATTATATTAAATAGAGTAAAATGTACTTTTTACGAATAAAATAAATCATATTAAATTAAGAAAAAAATATACTACGGATTAAGAATAGTTAACCATTCATAAATTATTTACAATTTACATAAGGTACATGGAATACATATAATGAATTTATTACAAATGAAATTGGTTAATTGGAAAATGAGAACTATGAGAGAGCAATTCTGTCATGTGACAGCAATTCATTAGTTGTAGAACAATAATTATTTTTAAAAAATACTTAAATTATAATTATAAGAAGAAAGTAGTTTATGAACATTTGTGTATCATTAGTAAAATATTACTGTGAATAACTTAAAGCGAAATACTTACGACTTTTTAATGTCTATAAAATGAATCATTGACTACTATAATTTTCTTAGTAAGTTATTATGGCCATTTGGCCATTATAAATAGAACGTAAATGATAAAGATAAATGTATTAAAAGAAACCTAAAAATAATTTCATAATGGAAGTACTAATATTTAAAACAAATGCACTTTTGAATAATATTTAACTTTTAATAAGAAGCAAGAAGTGTATTTTATTAAAGAATTAAAAAAAGAAAAAATTAATTTTTTAAAATAGAAATAAATAGAAATACATTTTTTATAATTTCTAGTTAGCAGTCTTCTCATTTAAATACTATATCTTAAGATCATCTATCTCCGCTTCCTTCTTCCTTAAGTATTATTGCTTTACGCTCTTTCTCATCACTTAATTCTAATTTGACAATTTCTTCATTGCATCTGTCAATATCATCCGAGTCTCCCCTTTCCTTAAGAGATTCCTGCAAAATATTATTTAAATGTAGGATCTGTTCATCCTTCTTCTCCAAAAGTTGTTTAACAACTTTATTGTCTGCCTTTTTCATATTAACAGATTCTGTTCTTTGAATAGCGATATTCGTTGGTACCTGTATGAATAAATAAAAAATTATTATAATTCATCATTTAGATCCTTCAAATTTATTTTTGTAATAAAAATATTTTAAACAAAATTATCATTTTAAAGAATACAGGTGGAAAATTGGAATTAGCCCCAAATAAATCCCCATAGATTGCTATCATTCCATGAGGGGTAGCAATAAAAATGAGGTTCGATTCGACATCTTCTGCTAAACATAAAAAAGTTAGCAGACCATCATATCGAAAATATATAAAAACCAATCAATTTACTGTTTTGAATACAGATTATTTAAAGGCCCTTAGTAAGGGCTGAAGCATCAGCCCTTTACATCAGAACACTATCAAATCACTTAACCTCTTTACTGTCAGCGACATATACACTGTGTCGTGAGAAATTAGGGGCCCAAACTGTCAGCGATACATACGTTGTGTCATGATCATCTTAGCACAAAAAAATGAAATTTTCTATTTTATTTATTAAATTGTAAGATAAATTCTTTTATATCATTATTTGCACACTACATGTATCAATGGTATTGGCTTAAGTAATAATTAAATAATTTTTTTGCTTAAATAATAAACAATTAAAAAACAATGGAAAATCTTGAAATTTTTTTTAATTCAGAGACCCCAAGAACTCTTATATACTAAGTTTCATGAAAATTTGTTGACCAGAATTTGTTGGACATTTTGAGACCACAGTATCAAGTTTTTCTCTAACAATAAAGGGGTTAAAAGCTTAAAAATACTGATTTTCATGGTAAAATAATTAAAAACTATTCAAGGGTTTCCGGAAAAAAGTCTATCTAAAGACCCTGAGCTATTAATAATAATTATGAAAAGTAATGATAGGTACATTATAACGAAAAAGAAAATAAAAAGGTTATGGGTCGCTCCTTTCAGAAATACTGAAGTGTTACCGTATAAGTATACTCGTCCAAACATTATTGTTAATAACAGTAGATATGTAAGGAGGCTTCTGGATAAAGCGTTGACTTTAGCTATATCCAGAAGCCTGCGCATATATTTTTGATTGCGCAATTTTATTTTTGCAGTAAAGAATGTTGAAGGTTTTATTTATTATAAATATAATATCCGAGGAATTTATTTTGTACTATATTATTTTTCACTCAGGAATATTTATGCAAATAAGACCTGAAATGAATCCTTTAAACAGATAAGATAGAAACTTTAAATAATTTTTGCAAGTTGAAACTTTTTAACAGTTTCGTTTGTAACAATTGGAATTTAAAAATTGTCATTCAAGCTTTGTTTATCAAGGGATATTATTGTAACATGGAATTTTTATTAGCAATCTGGTGCGTATAAAAGGGAAGTAAAGTTCAGCATTGTTCATTAGTTTCTTACAAAGCTAGAACTTGACAACCTCGAATGAGTAACAGTGAAGTGAAACAAAATTTTGAATTTTATCGGAACTTAAATAAACGAATTCAAGAGTCTCGACATTTTAAAGATTTATCAGAAAGATTTAAAAAATTAAGTCTTAACAAAAGTTTGTGTTCACATTCTGAAAAAAAATTACAGAGATTTAACTGACAAATTTGAAAAATTAAATATTAAATAAAAACATGAATTTCCAAAAGTTAAATGAGACAGGTTATGGTAAGGTTTATCTAGCAAAGAAAAAATTAACTGAATTGGAAGTGAATGAAACGTACATCATTTCGGATTTACATCTCGTCAAAATCAGATTTGGTTATCGAATTGTGGTGGACATTAATGAGAATGAAAATCTATTAACTCATTTAAAAGGATTGTCTGAAAAAAAATTGGGCCTTAAATATCTTGGAGGAGTTTATAATTATATTGAATTTCTTGAATTATAAAAAAACAACAATGTCTTATATGCAGAGAAATCAACTGATTCTTTCAAGTATATTTAATTTAAATTCATCATTTACTAAACAAGTTACAATAGGAGTACAAATTGTCAATAAAGGTGAATTATGCAGTGTTTTAAAATTTGATTCGAGTCATGCAAGAAGCAGTGTATTATTTGATCGGAAGGAGTGGTCAATTTTTAAAAGTCTTATGAAAACGATCACATCTTACTTCAATGGAAATCAAACCTCGACGGATATTATTACTTTTGGAAATTTTCAAATACGTTTTGGAATTTTTTTAAAGGAAAATACAGTTGCACTGGAAGATAGAAGAAATGAAAAATCATGTTATCCACACGGAAAAAATTTTGGTGCACCAGTTGTACTGGTTAGTTAAAAAAATTTTGTACTTTAAAAACGGACATCAGTTATCCCGGTTTGGTGCAACCTATGTCCCGTACAGTGCGTCTGATGTCCCTTACAGCGCTTCTGACGCGCCAAATCAGGATAACAGTTGCCCGCAACCCATAGTACAACAGTTCTACCGTAGATTGCGCATCTGATGCACCAAAATTTTTTCCGTGCATTTATTATGAAAAAATGGTCTTTTAAAATTTTGGACGATCTTATTTCTTGTGTTGATCAGCGATTTGAAAATTTATCTTCTATACGTTTGACGAAAATGTGTAATTTAATTGTGAAATTTATTACAGAAGTATTGTGTCATTGTAAGAATATAAAAAATTTCGTGATATAAGAAACCACGAAAAGTGACAGATCAAGGTCATTATACTAAAACTAAAAATGTAAAACGAAAAGACTAGGTAAAACGCACGGACCTTAAAGAAAGACCTTAAGTTCCCACCACGGAACGGCTGCGAGACATCGAGATCCACCATCGAAGATGCGCGTCGCCTAGTCGAAGTCAGAGTAGCTCAGCGCAAATTTGTCGATTTACTCCCTCCATCGATCGTCCCACGAGCAGGTATATAAATCGGCGTTTCGAAGCTTAAATTGCATTAAAGCACCGGGCTTGGATAATATACAAAATATAGTTCTTAAACAATTACCAAAAAAGGCTTTTGTACAGCTCACTTATATTTTCAATGCTTGCTTCGAAATTTCATATTTTCCATCCGTTTGGAAAAAAGCAAGAATTTTACCATTCCACAAACCTGGAAAGGATAAACTCTTCCCACAGAGCTATAGGCCAATCAGTCTTTTGCCCACGCTCAGTAAAGTTTATGAAAAAATTATTCTAAATAGGATTAAAGATTTTGAATTGGCAAATAACTTACTAATTCCACAACAATTTGGATTCCGCGAAAAGAGAAACACTGTACAACAGCTTTTTAGGGTAACAAATCATATAAGTACAAATTTTAATATCAAAAAATCCACTGCGATGGTGCTACTTGACATTGAAAAAGCATTCGACACTGTGTGGCATGAAGGTCTTATTTATAAATTGCAAAAATATAATTTTCCACTTTATATAATTAAAATAATACAAAATTATTTAAAAAACAGATCTTTTATTGTCACTGCAAATAAAACAGATTCTAATGAAAAAACAATTGAAGCTGGAGTGCCACAAGGTTCGATTCTAGGCCCGGTGCTTTTTATACTATATATTAATGAAATACCAAAATCTGATGAAGTTAAACTTTCGCTTTTTGCCGATGATACGGCAGTATATGTATCTTCGTTAAAATTAAGCTTGGCTGTGAAAAAATTACAGAATTACCTAGAGGTTTTGCTTGAGTTCTTTGATAAATGGAAATTGAAGGTTAACTCAGCTAAAACTGAATTAGTTTACTTTAAACATCTAAAAAGAAAAGAAAGTGTCCCTGACTTTTATGTAGATGAGCATAAAATAATATCAAATAATCAAGCAAAATTTCTGGGTCTAATCTTAGATAAGAAGCTACTGTTCAAAGACCAAATTAATTCTATAAGAAAAAACGCATATGGTATTATTAGCATAATAAATTGTTTAATAGGTAGATGTAGTACACTAAGTATTAAAAATAAAATTATTTTATTTAAAATGATAGTATTACCTGTTATGTTGTATGCAATACCTGTATGGTCTAATACGTGTGAAAGTAATATTAATAAGTTACAAGTCATTCAAAATAAATGTCTAAGAATAATTTGCAAAGCCGGTCCTAGAGACAGAAACAGCGATCTACATAAAAAATGTAATGTGCGACCTATAAGGGAACATATATGTGATGCGACAAGAAAATTCTATGTAGAACAAATAGAGAATTCTGAAGTATTAAACGATATAAGAAATGAATTTATAGTTTATAAGACAAAGGATGAGATGCCATTTAGACTTAAGTACAGAATGCCGTATCAAATTCTGATCGGGCAGTAGATAGTTTGTTATTAGATTTAAGTGTTTTTTAGTATGCATTAAGTGTTATGTAGTTAATAAGGCTGTATATATTTTTATTTTCTTTTAAGTCGTAGATTAAGTTTTCTAATAAGTTTTTTATTAACATTTTTACTTAAATAAATATTATTTTAACTAACGATCATAACCGATCTAAATCAAAAATATAAATAAGAAATCAGAGATTTTTATTTACTGGGGTTAAAGTTCCTAAGAGAACTGCGTACCCGAAACGATAGCTTATATATTTTATAATGTTTCTTTTGTAAACTTAACTGTGTATTTTATGAACAATAAATATATTTTTCAAAGTCAAAAAAGTCTTAAATTGCATTCGCTGAGTTTCACTCATCGACTTTAGACTAGAGTCTGACTCTAGGGATCGAGAGCTTCGTCGAAAACCAACACATGGTAGATGCTTCCCCCATAGCCACGAACACGAAAAGTCGACGACAACAATTATTTAATCTAAGTCTAACTTAGATTGAAACTTTCTTACGTGGAGAATTGTTTTGTTCTTTAAACACACAATAATTGGGTATCATGGAATTATTTTAATGGTAAATTGAGTATCACTCAATTCCCTTTTTTTAAATGAAATAAAATATAAAAGAATTACGCGATAACGTCCCTGTTCGGGCGCCAGAAATCTGTAACGAATGTAAGTAAAAAAATATGCGGATTAGCTCGCCGGATCAGGGTTTCTAATTTTAAAAATAAAAGTTTTACATAAAGTTACAAATTATCGGAAATTTAATAT